GCGCGGCTGCGAACCTGTTAGGGAGCCTCGGGAGGGAGGGGAACAGGAAATGCGGGGAGGGGGTTCCTAGGCCTGTTCCGGTTTCAGAACGGCCGGAGACTGGTGGCGTTAGGCTTTAATGTGAACCCGAATCTGGGCCTCCGTTTCTCTGATTATCATGGTTCGCCCCACATTTTCATGGAGAGAACGTGACAGAGCAGGAGGGCGAAGGGAGGCCCAAAGAAGGCCCGCGTTTCTAGTTTCTCCGTGTCCTTCCTGTCTCTTGGAGAGGGGGCGATAACGCTGAGGATTTGGGATTGGGATGGGGTGTACACGGTGTATGCCAGAGGGGTGGGGGGCCAGGGGGTGTTTGACCCGCGGCCTGTCACCCCAGAACGAGATCGACGAGCTGAGGACCGAGATGGACGAGATGAGGGACACTTTCTTCGAGGAAGATGCCTGTCAACTGCAGGAAATGCGCCATGAGTTGGAGAGAGCCAACAAGAACTGCCGGATCCTGCAGTACCGCCTCCGCAAAGCCGAGCGCAAGCGGCTCCGCTACGCGCAGACCGGGGAAATCGACGGGGAGCTGCTGCGCAGCCTGGAGCAGGACCTCAAGGTCGGGGGCGCGGGCGGGCGGGGGCTCGGGGCCGGGCTCTGCTCTGAAAGCCTTGGGCGGTGACTGGCAAAGGGCTTTAAGGACACGGAGATTCGCAGTTCTGACCACGAAGCATCAGTCCCGGGAAGGAGAAGGGAGGAGAGACAGGTGGGCCTGAAGAGCCCGGTGTGCCAGGCCTTCTGCAGAGGCGGCTCTGGGCTCTCCCGGAGTAACGGGGCTCTGCTCTAGCAGGGGTGGTGGGAAGAGGGCGCCGGGGTCCCCGGCAGACACCAGGGTGTGGCAGAGCGCAGCTGCCTCGGAGGAGCCGGGGATCGGGCGCTGCAGGGCGGTGCGGCGAGGACGCCCCGGGGTCGCTGGAGCCCTGAGTAGCAACAGCGCTGGGTGCACGGGAGTCTGAGATTTCTCTCTGCAAGATCCCCCCCCC